TGAACATGGGGCTGAAAGTGAAGCAGAAGAGCCCTGCCTTCACGCAGTGTGTTAGCTGAGGAAGAGGAGCCCTTGCCCGTGGTGCAGGAGGTCCAGGCTCTGGCAGCTCCTGAGCTTCACCCGGGGACCTTCAGCCTTGACTCTGGAGTGGGACCTTCCTCTGGAAGTGACTGCCACATGGGACCTTCCTCTGGAAGTGACTGCCACACGCGGCTTCGCATCCAAGTGAGTGGGGCGCTGGATTGCTGGTTAAGAAATGCTCTGCAGGAGGGAGCCCTTCCTGCTGTGACCACAGTTTGTATTAACTTTTTTAACTTCTGGAAACTGAAAGCACGAATTCTTCCTGATAAATCTTTAGTGTAGTTTCCATTTCACGTAACTGGCTCTTTCTTTTCTTTTCCCCTTTGTGTTTCAAGTTTAAATCCTATTTCTTCTTGGGAATCCTTTAATAGCCAGGAGTTTGAGCTGATGTCCCTGAGAAATGCTCCCTGTGGGTTATTCAGCTCCTTGGATGGACCATGCTGTCCCCAGTACCCACTCCTCATGCTGGCTGCTCCTCTGCAAGGTCTCCTTGCTCCTGCTGGAGCTTGTTCCAGAGCCTGTTGGGGACTTCAGTCCCCCCTGGCACTGAGGGTGCCATTGATGAGCTGTATCAGAACTAAGGATAAGGCTTAACGTGTGCATTTGCGATGTCAGATGGCACTTACAGCATTAAAGCACTGAACACTGTTTGAGCCATTTTTAAAGATGACTCAAAATATTTGTGTTATGGAAAGATGACTTATTTGTGACTGCATCTCTTCTCCTGCTGTTTGCTATTATAATTTCCATTAAAATAAAATTCCGTCTCCATCACAAGCTGTATCAATCTTAGCTTGGAAGAGAGTCAAGTTTTATTACCTCCTTGCAAAAGAGGAGGGGTTTTTAAGCGTAGGCTCCTCTCCGTGTCCATAGAGCTGTGTGTACAACCGTTGTCAGAACTACGGGAACTGCTTGCTTTCCCTTTTTTTTTGTCTTCTGCTCTCTGGTTTATCCTGCTTGGTGCTGGCAGCAGCCTGTAGTGGCCGATCTGGGACGGAACTTGAGGAGAAAGCCCACGTTCAGAGAACCTGTAACTTCTCCTGGGCTGTGTGTGTGCTGGGGCAGGGTCTAAGCCCCCTCCTGCCCAGAGCAGCCCTGTCTGCGTGCCCTGTCCCACACACCGTGCCCACCCTTTCAGAAGGGATCTGTGGAGTCCCTGCCGGCGGTGTGTCCAGGGCTCTGCCAGCCTGTGGTACCCACCAGTGCCCCCAGCTCCACTCCACCTCAGCCAAATACATCTGCTCAGCCCTCCCGAGCGTGGGCTGGCGGGCGCCTGGGATGAAATTGAGATGTTCTTGGTGTAAATCACCGTCTGTAGGTTTGAATGCCTGTCTGGCTCGGCGTTGGAGTGGCTTATGTTAAGCCGTATTTTCCTTTCTCTCCCTGAATAAGCTCCTTTTACCAATGGTGAGCAAGATTTACGTGGCAATTTGAGCAGCCGGTCCCCCGGGAGTGTGCCTTTCTCTGGAGAATTGCATATAATCTGGCTATCAGCTCTGAGGAGGGCTAATGGCACACGTACCCGGCTGTCGGGCAAGCAGAGGGAAGCTCTTTACCCACGGCTGAGGCTGGAAATCTCTCCTGTACAGCAGCCACCGAGCCTGACAGTGTCTGTGTTGTACCTTGTCCTGCAGAATGAAAGGGGCAGAGAGAGACCTACACACTGGGCTGGAAACCACAGCAGAACAGAAGCTGCTTCACAAGGAGCAAAGGCAGAAACCTTGAAGGAGGATCATATCATAGAATCACAGAATGGTTTGGGTTGGAAGGGACCTTGAAGTCCATCCAGTCCCACCCCCTGCCCTGGGCAGGGACACCTCCCACCACACCAGATTGCTCCAAGCCCCCTCCAACCTGCCCTTGAACCCCTCCAGGGATGGGGCAGCCACAGCTTCTCTGGACAACCTGGGCCAGGCTCTCACCACCCTCACACCAAACAAGTTCTTCCCCACATCTCATCTCCATCTCCCCTCTTTCAGGGTCAAACCCTTCCTCCTCCTCCTAGGGCTCCCCTCCCTTATCAGGAGTCCCTCCCCAGCTTTCCTGTGGGCCCCCAAGGAACTTTTGGGGAGTTTGATTGAAGAGGGGTAGGTAGGGATCAGTGCCTCAGCCATCACTGTGCCCTACTGATGTTGGTGAAAGTGAAAGGCTGCACTTCCCTGTGTTCTCCTGAGGCCCGTAGCTCTGCGCACACGTAAGCCGGCTTTTTGGAAGATGCTAATTTGTTCTTTTTGAACTCCTTTGGATTCTAGAGCATATTGTGTTCCCAGCACAGGCACTGGCGAGGGGTTTATGCTCTTGCTTGAAGCGAGTCCTTTGCTGCTGCGTAAGGTGTGTGAAACGGCTCCCAGAGTGGCACCGCTCCGCAGCCCGGGAGAGGAGCTGTTGTTCTGCTGCCTTGGAGGAACCTTCTGGTGGGAGCGTGTAGCACACAGAGTGCTTGGATGGTGCCTACGTGTGCGCCGTCGCCATATGCTCCGTGGGGCTGCAGATGGTACGTGACCTGATGTTGGTTGTCTCGGTGCTTGTCTTCTGCAGGAGGTGATGGCTGCGGGGGCGGCGGCGCAGGTTTTCCAGCTGCAGGGGGGAAAGTTGAATTCTTGTGCAGCACTGAATTTCCCATTGTGTTACAACTTCATGGGTAGGCACTGCGAGGTGTGTAGGAGCACATCACAACGTATGGGTTTGCAGATCCGTGGTTCTGGGGTTTAGAGGATGGTTAGTTTTTGCTTTTTAGTTTGGGGGAGGGCTGAGAATGCTGGGGGGCAGGGCCTGGTTCTGAGGCACTCTGCTCAGGACGTTTCTCAGATGGCTCAAATACCTGTCCTGGGAGGCTTGTGCCCGATGGACAGGAGAGGGGTGACAGCAGATGGGAGAGAGGTGCCAGCGGATGGGAGAGGGGTGACAGGCATGTGACAGGCCTGCATCCCGGCATGCCTGGCTGTCCCCGGAGCTGGCTGTGCCTAGCTGCTCTGGGAGTGCTCTGGCATGTCCCCTCCACGAGCAGTCCCCCTCCTTGGGCACTCACATTCCTCTTGCCATGGTATCCCACCTGCGATGCCACTGGGCAAGGGACCACGAGCCTGATGGGGACCCTTGTCCCCGCCGGGAGCTGGAGCCGGGGAAGGCAGCCACAGTGCAGTGCCAAACCTCCGCAGAAACTTTCCTTCAGGAAACTTCCCTTGCCGTGGGGTTTTTTGGCTGTTGCCTTTCCCTGTCATGGGATAAAGGAAAGATGAAGTTGGTCTCTTTGAGAACCAGAGTGTGAAGTAGATGGAAAATGCACTACTCTCTGTATGGACCGAGAGAGGGTGTTACAGGAGGGGACATCGAGAGCACACATGCTGCTCTGCAGAAAAATTTGGGGAAGCAGCAAGTCTTGGCCCTTCTGTACAGTAACCCCTTGCATCTGCACATGGAATGTTTGTGTACAGCAGTTGTGTGTGGAACTCCCCCTCACACCGAGTGTGCTGCGAGCCAAGCGCACGGGGAGCGGTACTAAGTTCTGTACCATCTTAAAAATGAAGTTTTCTTCTTTGGCTTGTCTCTTAAACGTGTTTGGTGTATTTTTTTAAGAAAAAAGAACATATATGCTAGCTGGAAAAAACTAGTAGGAGAAAAAAGATGAGATGTGTATAGATGTACGGTAACATACAGTATTTCATGTTTAATTTTATTTACAAGGCCAAAGAAAAAACTCTTTGGTCGTAAGTAGTTTGCTGCAAATCTTGCCAAGAAGCCATACGCTGCTGAAAATAAGGGGTTTTGGTGTGTTTGGTGTGAGATGGGCAAGGAGGGCTAGGAAGCTGTGCAGGAGCAGGGCAGCGGGGATGACCCATGGGACCAGGGACCAAGGTGAGGGCTGAGCCACTGGCCAGCCCTGGGGTGGGACTCGCCACCTCTCCTTGCTCCTGGCCCAGGGCCCTCCCGCCCCGTTGTGAGTCTGCTGGTGTCCGGTGTTGGCACGGAGCTGTACACGGTGCTGGCTTCTGCTTTATGCCTTAACGGTGCTAAATCTCCTGCATGGAGGCTTCTGGGTGGGTCTGGGGCTTGGACAAAGGTGTCTCCATAGCTGGGGGGCTCGGGGTGCTGAGGGGAGCCCCTCAGACTCAGTGAATGCTGTTCCCAACACCACGTGAGCTGCCACGGCCCCCAGAGCATGGATCCGGTGCCGCCTGCTTAACATTCAGGTCAGTTCCATGCACACTTCTCATTCAGTGTCCAAACACTGGGTCTTTCAAGAATTTGCCTGACCCACATAGGGCTGGTTTGAAACCCTCTGGAGCTGGGTGACAAAAGTTCTGCCCCGATTCCAAGCCCCTTCATCTTGTCCCTGTCTCTGCTGCTGCTTCGGGCTGAAGGACCAGCTCCTCAAGGACCAGCTCCTGAAGGACCAGCTTCTCCCCAGGTCCTGGGTAGGACAAGCTTTGCTGGTGTATGGTGAATACAGGGATGGCAATTCCCAGCTGGGAAGCAGGGTGGAGGGCTGTTGGCTAATGTGGCTGTAGAAATAGCTTGATGGGCCAGGAGGGCAGCCAAAGGTGATCTTGTCATGTGGATCAGCTGCCCTGTTGTGATAAGGAGCTGGCCCATGACTTGTGCCTTTGCCACAGTACTGTAGGCACTTGTCACATATACAGGTTTAAATGGGTGCGTGTGTGCCTGCATCTAATTTTATATCTAAATCCTCTTTTGTCGTTCAGCTTCCACAGCAAATATCGGAGCGCTCTGGCTTGCCTCTGTCTAGACTTTGTTTAGAAATTATTAATATTGCAATGAAATTGCTAATTAATATATTGCTACCCTAAGTTTCAGCTTGTCACAACATTGTCTTCAGTTTCTACAAATGGTCTATCCTGTGCAGCCTAGATTCTAACATGGTAAAACTGCCTATTAATTTTTGTCTTCTTTTCTTACAGTAAAAAATGGCATTTCAGAAGGCAGTGAAAGGAACTGCTCTCATTGGAGGAGGTGCCATAGCAACAGTTTTTGGCCTCTCTCAATTTTCTCAGTATAGAAACAAACACGTAAGTATTAATTATGATTTCTGATAAAATATGAAACTTAAAATCTGTTTGAGCGTATGTTCGGCTTGTGCGAATGGTTGTGTTTGGGAAGGAATGCCAGGAGGCTCTGCGCTTGCCTTGGTAGGTGCTAATCTGGAGGGTGGCATTCAACGCTGTTTCACTGGTGTGGGTCTCTAACCAGTGGGGAAGTGCGATTCCTCTACATCCTTTAAAAACTGACCTTTGTGTACTGCTGGGGATTTCACTTGCTTGGAGGAGGAGTGGAAAGCACTGATTGAATAGCAGCAGCAAGCAGAGTTTGGACGGTATTTTCAAGCTGGGAAGCTTGAAGTGAAGCCATAGCAGCACCTCGGAAAGGCTCAGCTTCAGAACAGCCGTGGGGGCAGCTCTCGTTGGGTTCAGAAAGCTGAAAACTGTTCTGGGGACAGGATCTGTGCCAGGAAAGCCCATGGAGAGGCTCCTGTCGTTTCTGGTGGACACTGACCACTCCCAGTTAAAGCAGTGGGAGCAGAAGGAGAGGCAGTGGGGTCTGGTGTCAGCTCCTGTGTGGAAGAAAGCAGAGTCCATTGGCCTGTCTGCTCCTCACGGGAGGGTGGGAGTCACCGGGCTCTGTAAGGAGAGATCAGTAACAGGAACACTGGTTGTGCACTGGTTTTGGGCAAAGCTGGTGGGGATCGACCACTGCTCTTTGTCTAAAAGCAAACAAATGCCCATTGATTTAAGGCAGTTCTGTGCTTTAGAGTTTTAAAAAACAACGGTGTCTGGGCTGAGTAGATGTGTGTAGAGGAACAACTCACCTGAGGTTGTGTCAGGTGTGGGCTGTGGGGCTGGCACCTCACGTTTGGCCAAAAATCTTGGCAGTCAGCGTTCCCTAAAAGGGTTGCAGTAAGTGCAGTCAGAGCTCGGGCCCCATTTCCTTCAGCCTGGGTCTGGAAAGAGCTTAAACCCGAGGGACTACCTCCTCCTCCTCCTTTTGGGGTGGTGACAGCCTGAGAGCTGGGGGAGAGGTGCTCCTTTCGCCTGGGGTTTCCTGCCTCTCGCCTGAGGAATGTCATCAGGCAGCTCTCTACGGAGACAAGCTGTTACTCTGTGAACTGCCTTCGTTACCACACGTTCACTCTGAGTTGCCATTCAGACTGGGCAGGCTGAAAACAGGAAGGGAGGAAGCAGATCTTAATGGCCTGGTTGAAGGTAAAACAGTGGGAGATGATGGGAGAGAGTCTTCATTCAACTCCGTGGAGATGTGTGTTATGACTTAATAAAGGATAATCCGAATTTTCTGGCCATTTCTATGAGGAGGAGCAGCAGCTGAGGTACTGGGAAAGCAAATGAGATGAGTCATTTCTGGGGATCCTCACTGGGACGTGGGTAAACCGGGATCCTTATGGCTTCAGGTACCCTTGGAGAAAATCAAACCCAGCATTGAAAGTGAGCTTCCCGTTGGGCTGCCTGTCGCACACCTCGCTGACAGTGCTGCTGCCTCTCGCTGGAGTCCTTAGGACGGGGTGTTACAGCCTGCCCTCCTGGCTGTCAGGAACAGCAGCTGCAGATTTTAGGATTGTTAAATAAGAGAAAGAATTGGGGACGTGCAGCCTGGAGAAGGGAAGGCTCCGGGGAGACCTTGGAGCCCCTTCCAGTCCCTCAAGGGGCTCCAGGAAAGCTGGGGAGGGACTCTGGATGAGGGAGGGGAGCCCTAGGAGGAGGGGGAAGGGTTTGACCCTGAAAGAGGGGAGATGGAGCTGAGCTGTGGGGAAGAAGTTCTTTGCTGTGAGGGTGGTGAGAGCCTGGCCCAGGTTGCCCCGAGAAGCTGTGGCTGCCCCATCCCTGGAGGGGTTGAAGGGCAGGTTGGAGGGGGCTTGGAGCAAGCTGGTGTGGTGGGAGGTGTCCCTGCCCAGGGCAGGGGGTGGCACTGGGGGGGTTTCAAGGTCCCTTCCAACCCAAACCATTCTGTGATTCAGTGGGTTGGAAGGGGAAAGTGATGTGGACAGCTCACTTGCTGTATATGTGGTATTCCAGAATTCAGGGAATTTCCATTTTTTCTGGGAACAGATGGCCAATACGAATTTCCAGAGGCAGATTAAACCCCCGAGTTTTACAGGAGGTGATCGTGGTGTCAAAATGAGATAACTGCTCGTCCCCCAGTGTCTAAACCTCACTGTGTGGGCTCTGTCTCCCAAGGCTCTGCCCGTCCCCGGTCTCTGTGTGAGCAAAGGGCTCTGTCAAGTTGAGCAGCGGGTTGTTGTCACGTTGTTCTCACTCCCACCATTCCCACATGGTGTCCCTTCAAGCCTCTGCCTTAAACACCCACCGCAGGACCGCGGGGCTGGCACGAGGGAGGACACTCCGTTTGCTGGTCTCGACATCTCTCTGCTGAGGGCACGTCCCCCAGCCCGGGTGTCCTCTCTCTAATGAAGGCTGCCAATCACCCAGGCGCTGGGGCAGACATCCCGCCTGCCTTTGCCGCAGGAGGATGTTGCCCCAAGATGTGCACTAATTGGCTACACATTGGAGGAAATCTGCTGTTATTTCAAGAACAGCATCCGTCACGGAATAAGACAGAAATAAAAGGCTCAGTGATTTTACCCACGTTGGTATTGCCTCACTCAGTGCCTGGGTGTCCGTCCAGGAATTGGGGACACCCAGGTACAGAACAAAGACCTCATCCAGCTCTGAATCCTGAGCACACAGTTGAGTTGATCCATTTTTCTTTATTTCCCACATTTACTCCCCTGGAGTTGGGTGTTGCTGTGGAATTGGCTGTCCCGGGTAACTCCGAGGGGGAAGCTGAAGGGGGTGAGGTTCTGGCCCCCGAGGATGGGCGGGAGGCCATTTGGATTTGTTAGTCAAGTGGTTTGTCTACTAAAAGGGATGAGTATTGGCAGTTTCTGATGTTGAAATTTAAATTGTCCATGCTGGGTTTGAGAGCCAAATCCCAGCTGGGAGGAGAACATCCCCGTTAGCACCGTTATCCTTGTCTGTATGTGAGTGGCTGAAAAGCCTTTACTCCTTGGAAATCAAACACTCCGTGGATTCAGGTCTGTCCTGGGTTCTGTTTTATTTTTTATCCCATGTGTGCTGGCACTCTGGGGCAGGTTTCTGCAGCAGCAGTTGGGCAGTATGACCTTGTATATACATCTGTCTATGGGGGGCACATGCAGGCATCCAAGGAGCTCAGGAAATTGCCCTTGTTTGTGCTGGGCTTTCCAGCAACACGCAGTTCCTACGGAGCAGAGCAGGGACGGGGACACGTGTCGACGTGATGGAGCTGTTGTTGGCTTTAACTCCTAAACTGATAGATGGGTGTTGTGCTTCTGTGTGGTTTATAGTAGCCTGATCACTGGGGTATTTACTGAATTAATGGGATGGGTTAGCTTAACGCTGTGTGCAAGGGAATAAGTGGGAATGACACTAATTGAAGCAAAGCCCCTCTCAGTAGACGCAGAGGAGTGGTGCTTTCAGACCAAGTCCCCGTTACCCATCAGGAGCTGGTCAGGCTTTCCCTGCAGCCCCACAAACACAGGGGTCTGGCAGGGAGGCTTTGGGTGGGATTAAGAAGAAAACCTCTTTTCCAGAGAAAAGGAGACAGTTGGGGAGCTCTGCACAGCAGATGCTGCAGAGAGCTGCAGAATCTAGTCCTTCCTGAGCTGTTTTTGGGTAAAGCCAGTGTGCATAGACTCTTACATACATATTTTCAGTGTTATCACTGTAAATTACTTTTATCTTGAACAGCACAGGGGCTCCCAAGTCCATGGATGCTACACTGCCTGCCTGTCACCAGCTCCTGAAAAGGATTGGTGTGAGGTGGAGTGGGACCCCTCTGAGGCAGAAATCACACGGGCTGTGTACAGAATTGATTGATCTGCCCTCAAATACCCCGATACCTGAATGGCAGAGGTGACACAGCCAGCCCTTGCTGGTGTTGTCCCCACGCTGCCAACACCGACAGGAATGGAAATAGCAGTTTCTTTCTCTTCCCATAGAATTCCTGTATTCCTGCTTTTTGTGCCTTTAATACATTGAGCCAAGTGGTTGAGCACTAGATATGAGGTGGGGATTCTTTGATGTGCCACGTTTGAACTGGAGGCCACTGGTGATTTGTTTCCCCTTCTTGTAACGATGAAGGGGAAGAGCACAGCCGTGTGCTGGAGCTGTACGAGATGCTGGTGCTGCCCAAGCCACCAGGCAAGGCTTCCTCTGTCTGGTGGGCAAGTAGAGCTGTGGCCACCAGGAATTGCTCCTCAAGGGGAATGCGATCCACTATGATAGTATGGTAATGCAGCTTGGCCTGCTTTGGGGCTTGCTTCATTACTCCCCTTTTTTTTTTTTTTTCTCCCCTTTTTTTAAACGACTAAGGATGATGAATTTGACTCCACAAACCTACCTGGAGATTTACATTAGCAAATTAACAGGAGCGCGTGCTTATGGATTACTAGATCACTTTATAACTTCATGATTGAATTCAAACTGCCAAACTAAATTTCCTCTCGCTGAGAGTGTAATCAAACCCATTCAAGGAACTCTTGCCTGAGAAATTGTAGATATAAACAGCAATTGCTTATTTCAGTAAACACACTTGTTCACTGCCAAACTAATCACGTTATTGCAGATGGAATCCCTCTATGCGGCTTTTCTTCCCTCTCGCATTTAATTGACAGCAAGATGAATCATATCTATATCAATTCCTGGGCCGCTAATCACTTCCCTTGTGTTCAGTGCTCGTCTCCCCACTCTGCTCGGGGTGCTGCCCCGGGCTCTGCTGCCAGCCCTTTGCTCTATGGAAGGTGGTTAAAAGCAAAAAAAATATACTCAAACCCAAATTTTAGTGCTTCTTGAATTCCGCCTTTTGTTTTTCTTGTATCCTCTTATTTTCCTGAAGTTGAGTTGTTCTCCTGAAGGTAAGTTCTACGCTTTGAAAACAGCCCCTTGTTTCGCTGGAGAAGGCCTGGCTGGAAATGTAGTGCAAAACGAACCTTGAGATTTTTCACTTTTTTTAGAAGTTTTAGCAAGCAGAGTGTAGGTGGCTGAGCCCGATTAGCCCAAACACGTGCAAGACTGAAGCCATGAGTGGTTTTGGCCTTTGCAGTTTCATCCCTGTTGCTGCTGTCCCCGAGTCACAGGGTGGCATTTAGGGAAGCGGGGACATCGGCACTGGCTGAACTGGCACACCAGTAAAAGCACACTGGAGGCACTGGTGTCCCCAGGGAAACCAGACAGTGACAGTGGCCGTGCCTCCCTCAACGTTGTGGCCTTGTCCCAGCTTCCAGGTGTTCAAGGAGAAAAGCTTCCATGTGGGCAGGGGAATGCTGTGGTTTGGGCAAAGTGGCCACCGAAGCTTTGCAGAGGCAGTGGCCATCAGAGGGGTCCCAGCAAACCCCCGTGATAGCACAGTGGCCAGAGGGACATCTCTGTGGCCACCAAGCAGGAGAGATGGCAGGGATGGCTGGGTCCTCTACCTTCTTGTGTTTGTCGCTCACTGGAAAAACACCTTCTGGAGCTGCATCACTGAACCATACTGGGGGGATATAAGTTTCTAATCACACTTTGGGGGATACAAAAGTTCTTGGTGCTGCTAGAGAGGAGCGGGCTGGGGAGAGAGCGGGGCAGGAGGCAAAAATGGGTGGGAAAGTGAGGAATTCATTGCTCAGAAGAATGACACACAAGCTGGGTTTCTCTTCGAGTGCCTGTGCAGAGATGAGAGCGAGGGGGGGCTGGAGCTGGGAGCTCATGGCCATTCCCCTCCCTGTCCCAGTTCCATTCACCTCCCTGCCATCTGCATTTGGGGGCTGTGGTGGGTTTAAACCAGCTTTTAATGAGTTCCTGGGCATTTGCAGTGGGTGGCCGAGCCCCTGCCCAGGCGCTTGCTGGGCTGGAGGTGACCCCAGCAGGAAACACAGGCACCACACTTGGGAAAATCAGTGCTAGCACTATAGCTTGAGTCCTCATTGCCAAACTTTGGTTATTTTAAATCTTTTATCTTCCCAGAAATACGGAGAAAATGAAATCCTTTAAAGCAGAGCCCTCTTTCTCTGGCCCAGCTTTCCTTGTTGCTCAGACTGTCACACGCGTGCAGGGAATGCCATTGCCACCATCCCAGTGATTTGAGGAGCTGCTTGCATTCTGGTCCATATAACCCAGCCCTACAGAATGAACTTCTTCTGTAATTATTTTTGAATATGCACTTCTTCTAGATGTGGCACCAGTTAGTAGATTTTATTGTCAGTCGTATAGTAGTGGAGAGATTCCAAACCCACCCGGAGACATTCCTGTCCCACTGCTCTGGGTGACCCCGCTCTGGCAGAGGGTTGGACCCCGTGATCTCCAGAGGTCCCTGCCAGCCCCGGCCACTCTGGCACTCTGTGACAGGAACATTGAGAAACAACGCATTTCAATCATAATGCTGCTGAAGGACGAGCAAATAATTCTGAAGAAAAATATTTCGGCTGAATGCAGCATGTGATGTGAGTTGGGGCTTCTCGTGGGTGGCTGGGCTGGCTGCTGGCTCACAGGGGGTGTGTTGAAAGAGTCGTGGTTGCCTCTAACTCAGAAGGTCTCTGAGCTGTGTGACAGCCAGGGAGGTACTACAGAGCACAGACGGTGACCAGCCACTGAGCTGCTTTTTTATGTTGAGCTACTTTATTACTGCAGGGGCACGTTCCCTCCCCGTTGCCAGGGAAAGGGGCTGGAGTTCCTAAAACCTGGAAGCGGCTTGTGTTTCCGGAGAGCTTTCCCTGCCCCAGGGATGCAGGAGCATGTGATTTAGCCCTGGTCCGTGTTCTCTGGCTACGTGAGTGTGCTAGGGCTCTGTCACTGTCCCTGCACAGGGACAGCAGTGGTTCCTACAGCATCAGGGGGATGGAAAGGCTCCCAAAACCATGCCGGTAACATCGGGACCTGTTTGGAAACTGCCACATCATCTAGTTTTGTTACTTGAAAGAAAAGTTGTATTTTGGCGTGCTGCAGGATGTTAATTGCTGTGCTTACAAGATTTTTAAGGACGTGGAAATAGTGTTTCTGTGGTGACTGAGTGTCCTGTATTCGACAGGAACTCACATCCTCTCACGAACCTGATCAAATCTCAGCTGAGATTAACTCCACTGTACAAGTAATCAGTTTCAAAATATTAAATGTACACTCATCTTTCAGTCCTTTGCTTTGATGGATGTTTGGTAACGAGTTGAGAGCTTAACCATGTGTCTGTTTGTTCCTGTACTTCCTGCATACCCTGTAACGTCTGACACAGCAGAAAACTGTTCCTAGAAATAAGGAATATAGGCATCAGTGCTTGAGCACAGCGTTACATTGAAGTAGGGAAAGTGAAGTAAATGTGTGCTAGCCCTTTATTAGCTTAGTACTGTAACTATTATTAGTACTGTTTGTTGCTCCATAATGTTTTAATACAATATTATTATTAGACGTAGGTGAAGTGACTGGGAATATTTGAGTTTACCTTTATGGTTATAGAAAATGCTGTGATTTTGGGGTGTGTGTGTGTGCACACAATAAATACAGATCTTCTTTTGCTCTCCGTAGGGTGCCTTTGTGCACGTTCAGGCTGCAGAAGCTGTGACTGTGCCAATAAAGCATGATTTCCCCACAAGAGAGGAGCAGGTTTTGGCCCTGAAAACCGCAGGTGAATTCGATGTCCTTGTCATCGGCGGAGGAGCAACGGGATGTGGCTGTGCTTTGGATGCAGTCACCAGAGGTGAGGCTGGGGACTTTAACTGCATTCTTATTCTTGGATGACATGGTTTATGATGAATGTGTCAGGTGGGCTTTTCAAAAGTACTTGAAGATGTAGAAAGTATACTCTGAATGCCTGGTTATAGAACTTCCTCTGTTAAAGGGAACTTGAAGAAAAAATGTCATTACACGTTGTTGTTTCAGCAGAGTCTGTCTTGTTTGGGTGCTTGTAAAAGAGAATCAGCTTTCCTTAGTTTCTGTGTTTGTAGATCTCGCTTCTGGTTTTGGAACTCAAATGGGAAAAAAAATAGCCTAAAACATAGTAGATACTCATAAAACTCTTCAGGTTCTTTAACCTGTGGGTAAACCTCAAAAATAAGAGGCAAAACCTGACCCCAGGGGTGTTTTGTTGCTCAGTTTGGAAAATGCTTGTCCCAAATGTGTGATAATTCTGAAATAGATAAAGCAGCAATGTACCATTGGTAGGTACATACAGACTCAAATCTGGTTATTAATTTCTTTCATGTATTATTAAAGATAACTTGGGATCTCCTCACTTCTGCCTCTGCTGTGTTGTGGCAGCAAATGCCGTTGTAAAGCACACAGAATTTGTTATAGGTAATCTGTGTTTATCCTTTTACTAGATATTCTGATTGTATCAGTAGATTTCTGAAGTGTGAAATACTCCTAGGCATTTGGTTAATGAGTTGTGTATTGTTGCTGTTCATTCATGGAGCTTGCTCTTTTATTATGTTTGCTTCGCTTAACAACAAATTTTGCTTTTCACGTGTTTGATATATCTTCGCCAAATTATTTCTGATTATATCCATTAATCTTCAGTCACATTTGACAAAAATAAATTACTCTGATCTTTGAAAGTTACCAGTAATAATTAGATATTTTTTAGGGACATAAAAGTTTTGGGACACCAATAGATGTTAAAAAGTATTTTCACCAAGCAATAACGTAAAGCTCCCCTCAGGGAGGGTGAAGGAGGGACCCGAGGGACAACTCCTGATGCAGATGAAGCTCTTCTCCTCGGGGCTGTGGCCTCTCTTGGGTTTGGTACCAATGTCACTGAGTTTAATTCACTCTGTGCCCTGCCCACCTTTAAAACTCTGCCAGCAATGGAGGGGGTGTGTGATGCTGCCTTCTGTGACACAGATTGTCCTGCCAAATACCTTCTGTAAGCGAAAGACGTCCATGGGCTTGTCCTGTGGTGCTCAGCTTGGTGGGCTTTGCTTTGCTGGAGGGTGGAAGTCAGTGGTGGGGGTCTCATAGGTGTGTGCCAAAGGATGTGGCCAGGCTGCTGCCTGCATCTTATCGTTAGAAGGCGTCTGTTAATCACCCGTTCCTTGCAACCCTTCCTTTCCCCTGACTTCCATTGCATCACCCCACATTAGTCTCCTTCAGGGAGAAGATGCTGGGGACGTAGTGTGGACAGTGTTGGGGTTTCACAGTGACTGGAATGAAGCGATGTGCCTTCACCTATGGAAAGCTTCTCCTGGCCTCCAGGGGGAACTGGGAACACAACTTGTACAACAAACACGCCAGCCTCCCTCCCAGCATTCCTTAGAATTAACATTATAACAGTTGGGTTTAAAGCACTTTGGGTTGATTTGGGTGACCGTCAGTGAGACACGTGGTTCTCCCTTCCTTGTGCTGCTCAAGCTGCCAGGGAACACACGTACTCTTTTGGGTAAAGGATTTTCTGAAACCATTGGTAGTATCTCAAAACTAATGTTTTGTGTGTCATGTTCTCTGGGGAGGTCCCCCTGAGCAGTGAGTGTGGCCATGACCTGCTCTCCTGGATGTGGGCAGAGGTGCCGGGTGTCCATCTCTCTGGTGTGCTGGTGGAGCCATTAGTGTGACAGAGCACAAAGAGTTAAAAGCATTCATGGAAATCCTCTGTTCCTGCCATGAATATGAACTGCAATTTGCTTGGGGGAGTGTGGCCCCCGTAATGTGCTGTAATGCCTTTCTATTGTGAAATATCCAGGTTTTAATGTGCTTCTGTTTAAGTTCTGTTTTGACTTTTCCCTTAGGAAGGAGGCTAAAATTTTTCATTACAATATAGACAGCGCGCTACTCTTTGAATACAAATTTATCCATGTACCGAGTAATTTTTCTTGTGATTGTCTCTACCCTAGAGAAGTGTCTTTAATGAATTACATACAAATTGTGTAATTTAAGAAGTTAATTTGGTTTTCTCGTAACACAGGACTAAAAACAGCCCTTCTAGAAAGAGATGATTTCTCATCAGGGACCAGCAGCAGGAGTACTAAATTGATCCATGGTGGAGTGAGGTACCTTCAGAAGGCCATCATGAAGCTGGATTTTGAGCAGGTAATTGTTTGTGCTGGTTGTTAAGCAAAAATTGCTGGTAGACACTTCCCCTGTCCCAATTATATCCAAGTCTCCTCTTGATTTTTTCCATACTTGACTGTTGTATTCCACAGCCACGGCACCTGGAAAGTGTCTTCTCCAGTGGAGCTTTCCAGACCAGGGAAATCAGTGCTGCTGCCTCTTTTATGGGCAATCTCATTGCTGAGCCTTGTAGACCGTGTGTACTTTGGGGCAGAAAGGCAGAGACAGGGCTGGCTTCAGAATAAAGAGTTTCCTGCCTGTCAAGATCAGAACATGGGGGACTGAGCAATTGTCCTGTTTATTTATGAATGGGGGAAGAAATGCAGTAAATAAGTGATTGTATATAAATACTTTAATGTATTCTTGTGTTGGTGGGAGCCTGATAGTCTTGTTTTGAGAAATTGATAGTCTTGTTTTGAGAAATTGATAGTCTTGTTTTGAGAAATTGCTTTGTCTTCTGGTTGCAACCTCTCTAAGTTCAGGTGTGTTTCAGTGGTTGTAATGCTGCTACAGAGCGGTGGCTTCTCAGGGAAAAACATCTGAAACATGCAGTGAACTAGTTATAGAAATCAACCTTCTCTTTTTCTGCCAAAGAACAACTTCCTATTGATTGATATTGATTGATTTGGAGAAGAATGTGCCTGCGTGTGCAACTTGGAGCTAGTTTGGGATTTAATTGTGGGAATGGGGAGAGAATCTGTCCTGTGGGATGAGTTGTAGCCCCCCTTAACTGCCTCCTGCCCATAGTTAAGAGTAACACGGCTTGTTGAGCTTTATGTTCAAATGAAATATTATTCTACTGACCTGCCCAGACACCAAAGTGAAACTAGGGAAACTTCATTTTCTCGGGAAACATTTTTTCTTAGCTTTGAAATTTTTCAGCAAATCTCAGTGTGGTTTTGGTAGAACAGTAAAAATGATGCAAGGTGTTTGCTTTGATAAACAGTTTGTTATTAGAAGTCGCACATGGAGACAAACTCGAGTTCCCTGGGATTCACGTGCACACTTGTGTTTTTCAGTACAAGATGGTGAAAGAAGCGCTTGAGGAACGTGCAAACCTGCTGGAGATTGCTCCTCACCTCTCAGCTCCACTGCCCATAATGCTGCCTGTTTACAAGTAAGCTCTGCTGCCACCTCCCTCCTTTACCATGGCTTTTGGCAAACAAGCTGCTTCCCTGGAGAACATTCCAGGTGCCTCTTCTCAACCAGATCTTTAAACCTGTCACAAACGTTGTCCTCCAGGAAGAGGTCTGCAGCTGGAATGAGCTCTTGTTCCTGGGACATGATTTGCTGTTCTTTCCAGTGCATCCTTGTCTCAACAGACACTAACATAATGGGGGCTCCAGGAAAGCTGGGGAGGGACTCTGGATGAGGGAGGGGAGCCCTAGGAGGAGGGGGAAGGGTTTGACACTGAAAGAGGGGAGATGGAGATGAGATCTGAGGAGGAACTTCTTTGGTGTGAGGGTGGTGAGAGCCTGGCCCAGGTTGCCCCGAGAAGCTGTGGCTGCCCCATCCCTGGAGGGGTTGAAGGGCAGGTTGGAGGGGGCTTGGAGCAACCTGGTGTGGTGGGAGGTGTCCCTGCCCAGGGCAGGGGGTGGCACTGGATGCTCCTTGAGGTCCCTTCCAACCCAAACCATTCTATGGTAATGTTCAATTTGCTGTTTGGTCCTTCCAGCCCCCAGTGTTGAGCGCAGGAGTTGGTGCAGTTGCCCTCACAGGATGTGACAGGGTGGTGCTGAGAGAACAGTTGTTGCTTCTCCTGGGAGAAGAAGAGTTTAAGTGATGTGGGTTGGGTCTTTAGGTCTGTAAGAGCGATCCCTCACTGTAACAGGTCACTTACAGCAGTGAGTTTTTTGCTGAATGATCTTCATTCCTGCCTTAGCAGAAGGGACCTGTAGCAGCTGGAGCTCCTGGAGGTCAATGTCTGGCAGGATTTATTGGGTCCTGTCTGTGCAGGAATCATTAGGCAAGGTGTGTTTTGAGGAACCCCTCCCCTGCCTGCTTCTGCCCTCAGCACGTGGCTTTAGTATCTCACCTTGCACTGAGGTACAGAAAGCCAGTTTATGATCTTAATTCTGTACAAATAAAGCCTTGAATGGCTTGACCCCCTGCAGTGAGAAGGTCAGTTGAAAAAAGTAGCGAACAGCAGGTACGTTCTTGCCTATTTAGTGAAAAAAGTAGTGAACAATAGGTAAGTAATATTTATATTATATTGTGATACCTTGAGTTTGAGTGATGGTGCAAAGTAAAACTGGTGTAAAACCAGATGCTGCGTTACTTCAGGGCTTGTGTAGTACCATAGCAGTGTGTGCATGCACTTCTAAAGTGTGTTTATTTCCCTTCATGGGGAATTGTTTATTCCCTGCAGGTGGTGGCAGCTGCCCTACTACTGGTTTGGGATAAAACTCTACGACATGGTGGCCGGGAGTCAGTGCCTGAAGAGCAGCTACGTGCTGAGCAAGTCCCGGGCCCTGGAGCATTTCCCCATGCTGCGCAAGGACGAGCTCGTGGGGGCCATCGTCTACTACGACGGTACGGGGGTCTCAGGATGGGGCTGCCTTGGGGGGGACACGGGGGTGGGACTGCAGATCACATACATTGACCTTCTGAAGGGAAGAAGGACTCCTCGAAGGATTCACCTTGCATCTTGAGCATTAATTTAGTAGATAAATGATGGTTTTTCACAACAGGAACAGGATGTAGGAAAGAATATATTTGTTTTCTTGGCTGGTGGGTATAGTGCTAGGTGAAAGCACTCCAGTGCCTGGGGGTTGCCTGTGGCTGTCCAGCTCTGCGTGGTTTTGCTATACACTTCTCAGACTGAACATTTCTTCTGAGGTATCAGGAGTCACAAAAATGTGGTCATTCCGGTAATGGTAACTGGTTTGCTGTAGGGCTTTCAGTGCCCACCTAACTTCAGAGCTGTCTGCATGACCCAGCTCCTGCTGTGGTTCTTGCACTGGGTCAGATGAGGCCTGGATCAATTACTGTTTGTATCACCAATAAAACCAGTTGCTCTGCAAAGACAGCATTTATTGTAGTTCTAATTGAATACCAGGGATTGCTGTAAGACACAGTTTCTGTTAAAACCCCTTCAAAGAAAGGGTTATAAATTCATGAGAGGGAAAGTGCCTCCAGCTGGAGGTAGTTAATCTGTCGTATCAGCTAGTTGTAGGTATGTTTGTGTATAACACACAAAACCAGTGTCCAAATGGGGGAAAACAAAGGTGCTTTCTGCAAGGCTTTGATGTTTGGTGTGTGAGAGAGGGTCAGTGGTTTTGCCCCAGCGGGTGGCACACGCCTGGCACCAAGGCAGTGCTGTTCCACCAGGAGGTGCCACCTTGGGGCTTCTCAGCAAAGAATTCCTTATGGCTGTCTCCATCCCGTCAGTCTCTGGAGGTGCAGGAGGCACCCTGACCCAAAACCAGTGGGGTTTAGCTGCCTGATTTGACAAACGACTGCCTAGAAACCTTGTTTGTCTGGAAATGTAATACTGAGTTTGTGTGAGTTCTACCTGCTGGAGTGTGGGTGCTGGGGAGTGCTGCCAGAGCTGCTCTCCTCATGCCCTGGGTTATGGGGGCTGATCTAGAGGATGGAATGTTTTCTCTTGGCATCACACTTCTGCCCTGTTTCATGGTGTGTGTTTAGCGAGACCGGTGTTCCCCCTTCTCCAGTCCTCTTCCACTTCACCTCCCAGACAGAAAGTTTGGGCACAGCTCTCCTGGTGCTGGGTAATCCCCAACTGTCACCTGTGTTCTGGGGACAGCAAAAAGCTGTGGATTCGCTGCAGCCCTGCAGGAGCCTCCAAAGAATAAATAGCTCCAATAGTGATTCCCCTCAGTAGTGGTGAGTTCCAGTCAGTTTGTACCTGAAGATGCAGTTTCTGACCTTTTGGCAGCCAGGAGGGTCTTCACACAGAATTGATTCTAAAGGTACTTCTTTTCCCCTTTTAGAACTGCATTTGCACTATTCAGCAGGTTCTCAATAGGGGCTTTTTTACTGGGGAGAAGTGGGGGGGACTCTGGACACCCACTGGACTCAGACAGTGTTTGTGAGGCTTCTGGCAAAAGCACGTTGATAATTGCAAGTTGTTTCATACAGAACAGAGCAGAATTAAAAAAAAAAAAAAAATATATATATATAATTGTGCAGGAATATATACATGTAGGTTCTTATTTGGGAGTAGGGTGAGATTTAAGTAAAAATTAAGTCCCTCCTTTATCTCATGGAGCCCACATCTTCTCTGTTTTGTTTTTAAGGTCTAGAGAAAATAAGAGGTTGTTTAGAAGCAGCGTTTTCATGGGATTATGTGGTATTTTTTGTGTACTGTAACAAGAGCTGCTGTAAATAGCATAGAGAGAAGTAATTCAGATTTATTTTTTCATTATCGTCAGCTATCCCTTAGACTGTTTGAAGGGATCCCAGGAGCACGGCAGAAGAACGAAGTGGTTCTCTTCACTGTAATTACACTTCTCATAAGAGCACTATAACTTGAAATCTATTTATAATCTATTGAGGTTTTTTCTGATGCAATAGATAGTTTGGGTGTATCAGAGCTCTTCGTGCTCCGGCATTCTACAGGTACCCCTTCCCAGCACAGCCTTAAAATCAGTCCTCGGGTTTCTTGGACGAATAATTGTTTTAAACAGCGTTGCAATAAATGAAAATACAGCTCTGAGACACCGTGTGGCCTTTCAGTGGGAAACAGCAGTGAGCCATAGAGCACCCAGCTCTGGGGGGGCGAGGTGTCTCTGCTGGCTTTGCCCTCCCAGGGGAAGGGAGACAGCCCCACACTCCCAGTACTGGAGACACAGAAGAGTAAAATATGAAGGAAAAAAAAAAAAGGGGGAAAGGTACAGAATATTGCAGAGTAGTTTAATGGAGAAAGAGGAGTGTGTTTATCCCTACAAGGTCCATGCAATCGGGTAACTGCTCTCCTTCAGAGGAGCAGGCACAGAGCAATTTGGTGAGAGAGAGCAAAAATAGGCTTAGGTTCTGCTGCCAGTGAAACTACTTGTTCATGCTGTGGATCTGGCCTTATTTTGTTTCCTTATAAGACTACAGCTTAGTTATCCACAGGCTTATGCAGAATGTAAAGAGTTTAAATTTTCACTTTGCAGTGAAAAAATGAAACAAACTCTCAAGGCTCCACCAAACCTCAGTTCCCTACAAGAATAAAGTGGTTCTGAAGGACTAAACTGTCGAATTTGTGAGTTCCCAATACACCTTTGGGCACTTTGAGGCTGCACCTAATCCAGAAAGAAATCTCCAACTACAGTGTTAAATCGGTTCCTCCTGTGCCAGGTTCCAGAGTTAAAATGCTGTCCAGAGTGACACCTCTGTGGGTCAGCCTGTGCTCTAACACATTCATTATTTTATCCTGATCAATTAACCTGGGTTCTGGCCACGGTAAATTTGTTTTAAGTGATAAGGTTTCAGCAAGCCCACTTCAGATCTTGTAAATCATTGAAGTTGAATTTTAATGGTACACTTTCATGCCCTAAATCTGGAGGAACAGAGGACAAAAGGGGAAGGGAATTGAACTTGAAGTAGAGAAGGGGAAGATAAGGTTGAATTAAACTCCTTTTAGTTCTTTCAGAAGGATTAGTCATAAAATAGAGCATTAAATAATGGTGGGAGGTATGTATATATGTCTTAAAGTAGGTCATAGCTTTATCTTCTCTGTCCATCCCTTCTCTGTCTTCCCCAAGTACCGGATAAATAAATTGGCCTTTTAAGAGTGGCCTCTGTTACCTGCTCCTATAGGTGCAATGAAATGTAGTTGTATCTTGTTTTCTTGTGTTTCCCTGTCCCTGGCTCTACCCCGCGTTGTGTCTGTAGCTGGTACTGGCCCCCTCCAGCTGTGTCTCCCTGGGTATCACCCCCACCAAGGGCAGCAGTTAGAGCCCCTCATGGTGTTGGTTAGGTTTTGATGGCAGGGAGCTCCCGTCCGGCCACGCCGTGCTGGTGCCAGCATCCTCTGGCCGGGGAGAGACCAGCAGTGCCCTTTGTTTGGCTTCCTGATTGCAGCTCAAACGTCAGATAATCCATTATTCATGGAGACGTCGGGTTCTGAAACGTTGCCGGGGTCGTCTTAATTACATTTTTTTTATTTTTTTTTTAAATTGTTTATACAGGCAAAAATAATAATAATAAAAAAATAAACGGTAGATTGTAAATGTTGGAAGTACCAGCAAGAGCAAGTCAGAGCCTTTCCCAGAGGCTATTCCTGCTCCGTCTGAGCAGCAGGAAACTGGAGCATATGTTGGATGTTAGCCGGGGTGTACACAACGTGTCCTACTTATTCAAGGCTTCCTTTGAAGCCGCAACTCCCAAGTTTGTTTCTTAGGGGTACATGTCAGACCACATTTAGCATGCCTTGCCGTGAGGGTACTCCTGAACAGCAAAAAGGCAACATTTTGGGGGGGGGGGAAAGGCGGCTGCTATCTGAGCAGCGATCTGTCACTTCCACTTAGGCAGCCCAGGGAGGAGGCAGCGGGGAGACGGCGGGGCCGGGGCATTATCTCACAGCCCTTCCAAGGCAGGAATTCATCTCCATTTAAATTACATCCAGGCCCTGGTGTTATGAGCCGGGAAGGACATGAACGTGGGGATCCCAACTGGCCAGGATGGTTTGGTTCAGAGTGGTGGGGAACCCTGAGCTGGTTTGGAGATGGGTGGTTGTTCTCTCCCGAGTGGGTTGTTAACATGTTGCCTGGCGAGGTGAGCCTTTAGGTACATAAGGAAAGCCTGTTTCCTGGAAATCAGTCGTGAATTTAAGATTTTAGGGCTTTGTTGACCCCGCTCTTTGAATTTGCTGCTGTTTCCTGACAGCAGGAATTAGCACGCACTACTCCTGTGAGTGTTTGGCCACATCAAGGTGTTTGATTGTTTAATGTCGTCTTCTCCCATTTCCATTGCTTGCTGCCATGTAAGTAATTGCTCTTTACTTTCTGCCTTCTCACTATTTTTTCTATATATTCTCTCCTGGAATATGTAATATGGAGGTTATTTAAAGGTAGAAAAGGAAGCTTTGGCAGAGGATTTAGCTCTCCTTGTTTACAGCAAACCCCTTGAGAAATCCTTCCTGGGCGCACACAGACACACACACACACACACACACACAAAAATCAATGCAAAAGAGTAGGGCATTCATTAAGCTGTCAAAAATGGAATAAATGCTTTTTTTTATTTAGGCTCTTGTAGCTATTTTTCCTAGTATTTGAGTGTGTCCTGAATTATGAAATGTTATAGCTTTATAATTCATATTTGACAAATTAATATTTGGAGCCTGTTGAGCTGGAGAGGGGGTATTACCCTATTACAGATGCAGACAACTCCATGCCTTTTTTTTTTTTTTTTTTCCCCTTCCTGGGATATAAAAACTCTTTGACAGTTTGTCACTAAAGAGCCTTTCTGTCGGTGAAATACACCCTGTTTGATGGTGTTTCAGAAGCTGAAGGTGGGTGAGGGCAGGCAGCCTGGCAGGCACACTGACTGTGGGTGTAACGGGGGGAAATACAGCCCGTATT